GGCAGGAAGCCATGAGTCGTCAGGTCAGGAACGCTTCCCTGCCCGTTGTCTAGTGAGTCGCGACGCATCGCACATCGCTTCTCCTGTTCAGTCGCGACATATTTCGTTTAGTATAATTTTCATAAAGTACAGAGAAATGTTCAAATATCTTTTTAGATTAAATTTGGGTTTTGCGTGTTACAGTTTTTGGTTTCAGAAATAATCTAAAGTTTTCGTTTGGACAATATGTGTAGTTTTGAATGCGACATTTTTTTTGATTTTTTGAGATGTTTGTTATATCCTAGGATTCCTACCCCTCGTCTTCCAATAAAGACACACAGGGAACAAATCCCTAATAAAGGGAACTCCTCCCCATGGAACTGCTGGGGATCTCTAGAGCCAAAAAATTCTCCCCTCTTGGGTTTCCTTCCCTGGTTGCTAATCTCCAGGCTTCCAAAGTAGCCCTTAGGCCAATTTTAGTGGAGAGTTTCATGGTATTGTTTCCAAGACTGCCATATCATGTAGAATGTAATGAAACATGAACGAAACCCCAACTCTCAATGAACAGTTTCATTCTATAAGTTTCATAGACATTTAATTCCATGACTCATGGAGAGTTGGTATTCGTGTCAAAGAGAGTTTCATCCCTATTAAACTCATTTCTTCTCTCTCTTCTTAAAAACCTTGCCACATCATGAAAAATGCTTATGTGGCGGCTCATTAAATGCAAATGAAACTCCCGCTAAGACTGCCCTAGGGTTTGGAATTTGGGTTTTGGCGTTTTTCTTTTGCAAATTGGGTGATGGCCAATGGACTAAAGGAGAACTGGATAGACATTGAAGAAACTGAACAAGCTTATAAAAATCATGTCAAGTAATTTTATGGTATATCAGTATATGGATGTCTAATTGGTTTATTGTTATTTTTTCATTCATTTTGAATAGGAGCATATGAACATTGAATTAATATTTTTAAGAATGTGTTGCAAGTAAGTAAGTTTATGGATAGATGGTTGAAAAGAAAAGTGCCAGATGATGCTGACGATGTGGATAATTCTAATCACAAGATACCAATGCTGTAGTTTCAGCTCCAGAATATATCAATTTGGAGGAGGAGATCCAATTTGATCCAGAAGCATAGTAATTAGTTAATTACTGCAGAATTAATTGTGATCACTGTTGGCCATGGATTGGAAACAGACTTTGCTAGCCAGGGGCCTGCAGAGATTTCTATTACAAAACCAATTTTTTTTGCGAGACCCAGTTATACACGTAGACGATCACATACACGAGCGCACACTTACCCCTATGAACACATACACGTACACCCCTATCTCTATGAGCACCCCTGAACAACTGAGTTGGACTTGGAAATCTCGAGATTGATAAAGTCAACATAGACGCCTCGTTGTTCGATGCGCACGTCGTCTATCACTGAAAGAATAACGTTGTTAAATCTTAAAATAAATCTAAAAAATACAAACATCCATGTTAAGTCGAAAACTTAAACCCGGACGGATAGGTTCCAACCAAAGGAACGTGACTAGCTGAGCTAAACTCTCACTAGTATTACAAAACCACTTGAATAGAGCTAGCCCACACAACAAAAGTAATGGTACTGCATGATAGCTTGAATGCAAACACAGTCTAGTGCGCGGCCGAGATTTGGACTGAAGAGGCGAGAGCTCACTCTACTAGAGTCTAGAGACCAGCTAGGTAGGCACACACTAGCTGCTTGGATTAACTAATGCATGAGTGATCAAATCAGCCACAGGATTGGTTTTTAAAATCGTGGCTGGCAGCAGCAGGCAATAATTGAACTCTCTGTGCTGGCCTGCAGGCAGCGCATTGGGATCGGATTAGACCGGTTTTAAAACCTGAGGACCGGGGGAGCGCACGGCAGGACAGAGCCGGATTCGCATGGATGCATGGGCGGAACCCGGCGTGCTTCCCGGCCGCGGCCGGCCTTGATGAAGAGCAACGACGACGCAGTGCATCGAGCTCCGCAACCGACACCGCCATAAAACAACCACTTGCTCGAGATTAGTAGGCGACCTGTACACAGATCGATCCATCGGTGTTTGGTGCCGTACGATGCACTGGCAAATGGAGGCTTCTATTCTATCCCTTCTGTGAACCTTCCCAAGCATGCACATTTGACAGTCTGACTAGAGCCTTGGGAAGATCCTCTTTGACTTCTCTGAAATGGCGCAACTGGGTTAGTATCAGTGCTAATCTTGTAGCTGTTGTCATGTTATGATACCGCTAGTACCAGCAGAGCTGCTTTGGGTCAAAAATAACCGGAGCTTGTAGCTGGCAAATTCTTCTGGATCTGGGAATGGTTAGCGATTCTTCAACAGAAGCCGCGGCCGTGGCCGAATCTCAGCGCATGTGAGCATGATTCGCCCTCTTAGCTTCAACTTATTCAAAACTATTTTTCAATTATATAACAGTGTTTTTTTCTCATAATATTTCAGCATAAGCATCAGCGAACATGGTGAATATTAGCTTATTGGTACGCGTGTGTAACACATTTTTTGCAGTGACCAAACCTCACATGAAACTGTGAAAGGGAACCAGAGCAGCACAGTGAAAAGCGCATGAGTGTGGACAGCCCAAGACGGATCTGCTGCATGCTGCGCTGCTGCGACTCACGAGCCGTATCCAAAAATCGCTTTCAGGCTTTCATGGCTTCTTCAGCCTTCACCAGGCCAGGGGAGCCATGGAAAGAAGCAAAAAAGGTGACCTCAATGTGAGCAGCAGATGCAGCACACGGCATACTGTACGTACGATTTTCAGGCAAGGCAATGCAATTGCATGCGGTTGCAAGCCTAGCCGGGGTAGGCAGCCAGAGCCAGGCAAGGCAATGCATGCTACCTAAAGCGTGCGGTTCGAAGGCACATAATTCCCCTCGAAGTGCACACGCGTGAGATGTGCACTTCATCAATGTCGTAGATCGTGTCGCAGATCTCGTTTCCTCCTGCTTTCTCTCATTTACATGCATGCCGTGCCCTAACCTGCCGACGCCGACGTCGATCGATGCATGCATGCATGAAATGAAACATACAGGTTCGTTCCCCTGCCGCTGCCGGAGTACTCGATGGATGGCAAGGGCACTCGAGCACTACTGTTTCAGCTTTCTCTGAAGATACGCTCGCGAGCAGGACAGGGAAAGTGAGAGCGAGCAGACGAGAGATGCAGAAAGCTACAGGAGCAAGAGCAACCACAGGCAGGGCAGGGCAGGGCAGGGCACTGAAGCAGTAGCGCAATGGCTCCATGATGAGGAGCCGTGACTGCATGTGCACTATCGTCCTGTGATGGCGTTTGGTACAGCCTGCGGATCAAACACGTGGCTCATCTGGCCGGAAATGTTACATAGTAGTGTGGTATCGGCTGGAGATTTCGACATGTTCGTTTCGTTTGGTTCATGAGCCGTATTTTTTCAGCTAATAAATAGTATTTTTTTCTCACAACAAATCAGCTAACGGTACTTTTAATCATGGTTTATCAGCCCAAACGAACAGGGCATTTGGGCGCAGTTTGTTTCCTCGTTTCATTCGTCTAGGCCTTGTTTAGTTGGCGATTTTTTTTTAGAAATGGTACTGTAGCACTTTCCTTGTTATTTGGCAATTAGTGCCTAATCATAGTCTAATTAGGCTTAAAAGATTCGTCTCGTGAATTTCGTCTAAACTGTGTAAGTAGTTTTATTTTTTATTTATATTTAATGCTCCATACATGCGTCAAAGATTCGATGTGACGGAGAATCTTGAAAAATTTTGCAAAATTTTGAGAACTAAACAGGCACTATGGTTCCTGCACGATCTGTGGGTCTTTGCTCTGGTATATTTACTGATCGTACACTCTCAGCTTGGTTTTGTCTGGTGGTGTGACTGTGAGAAAACAAAAACTAATAACAGCATAATAACATATCACTAAATTAGTGTACTCATCTGGAAGTTCAATTCTAATGGGGTGTATTCTTCTCAGTCTTTATATAAAATTGTTAACTTCAGGCATTGTACCTGTTCATGTTCCTGCTTTGTGGCACTTGAAAATTCCTCCTAGGATACATTTCTTTCTTTGGTTACTTTCCAAGAACGAGCTGCTGACTAGAGATAACTTAAGTTTGAGGAGGAAAGTAGATGACCAGAGTTGTTTGTTTTGTTTGGATATTGAATCAGTATATCATCTCTTCTTTAGTTGTGTAGTTGCTAAACAACTCTGGGGCTGTGTTTCTGAAGCTATTGGTAAAGATGTAGGAAGTTCCTTTGAATCTATAGGCTCTTTGTGGTTAAGCAACAAGAGATTCTTAGTTGTCAATATGTTCTATGCGGCTGCCCTATGGGGGCTTTGGAAGCTAAGAAACAGTCTATTTTTTCAGGGGTGCCTTTGGAAGGATGTGGAACTGCTAATTCAGCATGTTGTCAGTATGCTTCAAAGCTGGAGGCTGCTATGCCCCAAGGAAAACCTTTTGGAGTTCAATCAGAAGTTGGTGTAGCCACAAGACCCCACCTACTACCTGGTTGTCCCAGGTTGGGAAGGATTGGAAGAGTTTTCTCTACAAGCGTGCGCTTGAATGGCAACACCAAGCTCTTCCAGCAGATGTGAAGGAGCACCTTGCTGGCTTTGAGAAAATGGTTGGAGAGTCGGACGAAAACAAGTGGTTTAGTTTGGCTCAGTTCAAGTCTGCCTAGCAGATGTAATGTTTGTTGTTGGGGTGTGTTTCTCTTTTGTGCTCGATGTTGAGCTGGATACTTTGTTATTCTGAACAAATGCTGTAAACGTTTGTGGTCTTGGTTAATGCTAAGGCTGGGGCAAGGCCCTTAAACTCTAAAAAAATATTATTGGTATAGTTATCAATTATCATGGACCACTTCTCAGAGCCATTTTTTTTTTCATCATATAAAAACGTATACTCAATACTCCTAAGAAAATTACTGCCTAATGCCTAGTATAGTAACACATTAACACTGCACCTAGCAACATGCAATTAGCAAGTAGCAAGTCACCTCGACAGAGAAGATGGGAGCTGGACCAGCTTGTCCTCACATGACCAGTTAGTCAACTCCAACAGCAGAGTTCCCTCGAGGAAAAAAATTTGTTTTTACTCGTAGGAGTACAGCTCGCCAACCATCCTCTTTTGGCCTGCCCAGAATTTACTGCGAAAGATTTAACCATTGTCCAGTCACACCAGCCATATATGCATATGCTTACATCTGCTGCCCCCCTCTGACATGATCCTACAGGACCCAATCTGGACGTGTTGCACACATCATCACATACAGGCATACAGACACATGTAGAGGTCCAGTATCATCTCTCTGCGCTGCTCCCTCTCTCTCCCTTTACGCTGTCGGTATCTATCTCAGCTCGTTTTACCAGCATTGCTGCGTGCACACTTGCCGCTCTAATTATCCCCTTCACATGCTCCCGCTCTCCTCTTCTCAGCTCTCACTCGACCTGGCTGTGTTCACGTTGCTCTCACTCTGCCGTTCAATCGATCGTTTCCCCACGCTGTCACATGGCGCTCCATTAATATATAGCACCACGCCACGCCACCAAGCTCATCCTCCCGCTCCAAGCTCCGAGAACGCAATACAGCTCACTGTACCCGAGCTCGTGTGGTAGCCTCGGCTAGCTAGCGTTTCTGCGTGTGCGCGCGCAAGCACGTACTCCACGAGCGCAGGCGGCTGCATCCGGCCACCATGTCGGGCACGGGTAGCAGGTCGTCCCGGAGGGGAGGGCAGCAGCAGCAGCTTCACGCTGCGGCAGCCGCCGGTGGTGGACATCGGCTGCAACTGCCGCCGCCCCAAGCTGTTCTCCGTCTTCTCCTCGTCGTCCTCCCTGTTCCGCGGCGGGGGCAAGCCCAAGTCCCCCAACGCCGCCTCCACCTCCACCACCACGGCGTTCACGGCCACCACCGCGGGCGGGCGCAGCGGCACGACGGCCACTTCCACCGACTCCTCCTCGTGGGGCCCCGCGTCGTTCGTCGCCACCTACCCGCTGTACGAGGAGCCGGTGGCCGTGGCGGTGGCGCCGCTGCAGCAGGAGCGGGAGCAGCAGGAGGCGAGGCGGCGGCGGAGGCAACAGCACCGCCGGCGCCGCAGCAGGCGTGCGGCAGCGCCACCGCCCGCGCGCCACGGCGTGGAGGTGGTGGACGAGGAGGAGTACGGGCGGCGGGTGGCGCGCGAGAGCGTGGCGGTGGCGGTGGACTCGGCGGAGCCGTACGAGGACTTCCGCGAGTCCATGGTGCAGATGGTGGTGGAGAAGGAGATCTACGCGTGGGACGACCTCAACGACCTCCTCCACCAGTTCCTCTCCCTCAACTCGCCGCGCCACCACCCGCTCATCCTCCACGCCTTCGCCGACCTCTGGACCCGCAACGGCCTCTTCTGCCCGCCATCTCCCTGCCAGTTCTAGGCAGGCTGCTCGCCGTCCAACACGGCCGGCCGGCGCCACGCCATGCACGTACGCTTGCATACTGTTTTAACCAATAGCTAGCTAGTCTTTGTCTTGTCCTACTGGCTGCTGCTGCTACCAGTCTACCACCCAAAAAATCATTTGTACCATTAACAAAGCACGCAGCTCACGCGAGACCGAGACGCTATTAACCGAGGTCCCGGCCGGCGAGCTGCATCCATGAATGCCAAGGTCTTGAGCTTAAAGGAGAGCGCAAAGAAGGCTATGCAAGATTATCAGCTGCTGATAGATGCTCTGCTCGTCGTTGTAATCTTCAACTACTGTAACACCATGCCGTTGTAATGTAGTCCACGTACGTACGTGCTAATGATGTGTGCGTGTGGCGCCAACACCGGGAGTGCAATGATACGCTGGTGTCGCTCGAGTGTGATCCTACTGTACTGTGTCACTGTGTGGTGTGTGTACTGACACTGGAGCTTTACTAGTACGCTGCTGCTTTTGGCTCTCTGGCTGATGCTGATTTGGTGGGAGCATACCTGGGCATCGGGCCGGCCCGGCACGGCACGGTCACAGGCCGGCACGGCACGATGGCTATCGGGCCAAGGAGGCACGCCGTGCCCTGTGGGCCGTGCCTCATCGGCCTGTGGGCCTGGCCTTTGGCCCAGACACGGGCCTGTGGGCCATTTTTCGTGCCGTGCTGGCCCGTGAGGCACGGCAAAAATAGCAGGCCGTGCCAGCCCACAACCCGTTAAATCTAAAACACCTCCAAATAAATATCTCAATCCATTTAAATATCAAAAAGAGCTGTTTTGTGTAATGCTGCCTCATTAAAAACCTACCTAGGTAAAACTCACTCTTGTGAGAAACCCTAGGCAGAAAAAAAGAGTGCAGCCAGCTCCAAATGTCTTAATCTTACCTAATTATTACAGACCATTATTCAAATGTTCAAATGAAAACTAAGCAAGTGAGTGAGGGACACATCCACTCTCAACTCACACAAAAGTACTCCGACACTCCCAGCCAACCAATGCTACTCTCAGCCACCAGATGCATCATCTTTACTTTCTGGTTTATCCAAGAATAGATTCTCGAATGCATCTTCAATTTCCTTGGTATCAATGACTTTCATGTTGTTCCCTCTTCTCTCTAGCTCCCAGTCCTTCAACAAGGTTGACATCTCAACATGTTACGTTTCAAGCTCCGTGCCGTTCTTCTAGGATCCTCCTGCTAAGTCAAACAAGACTCTGAAGAACAAGTGAAAATAGAAACTGACATGATATCTCTGGCCATAATAGCCAGGATGGGATAGGTTAGTTTGTGGTCCTTCCACCACGAAGAATGTCAAAAACATCCTCATAAGCGGTTATGCGATCATTTGTCCAAATAGCTTGAAAGTTCGAAGCGTGAGTGAGAAGAAGAAACTGCAGGTGCCAACTGGAAGGACCAGCGCACTGTCCTCCAAAAATTACCCCAAGCCTGTTTTCTCTTACCAAAGGGTGGGGTAGGACCAAGAACCCTTTGTGACCTGGTTGCACCAAACTTTCTCAAATATTTCTCAAATATTTTATGCAACTCTCGATTTTCAAATCAGCATAGTAAGTAGTGTAATCGAGGACGGTATATTCAAAGTAAATGAGGACCCTTTGCATACCTCTGAGCTTAGCTCTAGGGTCAAGAATGAATGCAAATGAGTATAAGAGAGGAATGTCCTTCCAATACTTAAGAAATTTATGTTTGCATAGGGTACACAAAGGGTCTAAGATTAACATCCTTTCACATGCATGTAAATGGGTTGCAATCTCTACATGGTGCGACACAAGATGACTGGTAGGATAATAAACACCAGACAGTGCAACAGTAGAGTCATAAAATACTTTCAGGAACTCCAATATTTTCCCAGTCACGTGCCAATGGGCTGGAGACAACAGTGCAGAACCATAATTTGAATTTATGAACACAGAAAATACTTCACTGTAAGGAACCAAGTGTTTTAGCATGAGATAAGTAGCATTCCATCTAACATTCATGTCTAAGCCAAATTTTCTAGGTCTCATACCTTTAGCTTCACAGTAGTTTCTAAACATAGCAATTCTTTGATTAGAGGAGTTTAAGAAATTAATTGTAGTTCTAAAATCCTCTATATAAGGTTTGATTCTTTTTAGTCCAGATTTGACTATCAGATTAATAATGTGACAAGCACAGCGTTGATGCACAAGAGGCAGAACCAAAAGTGCGGATCATCAGTGCGGGATCACAACCAAGATAACCAGCAAACATAGGTGTCAAAGTTTCCATATCCTTAGCATTAAAAGATGCATTATCTAAAGTGATAGAAAAGATTTTATCAACCAAGCCATACTCCTCAACAACAGATGCAATGGAAGCAGAAATATTTTCACCAGAATGCTTAATTTGAATCAACCTAAGACCAACAATCTTCTTTTGCAATTCCCAATCAGCATTCACATAGTGAGCAACAACAGATATGTAATCCTCTTTAGCATTACCGGACCATATGTCGGTCAAAGCAACAGATGCGAAAGTATGCACACGCCCCTAATCATAGCACGACGTTCACCAAAATAACTTATCCGGATCTCTAGTGGTGGTTCTTCTAGATGATCTAACAAATCTTGGGTTATGAGAATTTTAATATATTCCTCAAATGCATCAGTGTCACCAAAACCAAGAGGAAGATCAAGCCTAGCAATCAATCTACACGCTTCAGTTCTAGCAACAAAGCAGGATCATAGTTCCAATTATGCAAAGACCCATCAACATCAAAAGCTAGTCGAGACCGAACCCTAGAAGCATTATCAAGTTTCATTTGCAAGATTTTTGGTGCCTAAGAATGTGAACGATGACCCGCCAGCGAGATCTAGCACTCAACACCTTTTCTACACATCTTACATATAGCTCTAACACGCACATCGACACCATTAATCTTCTCATAAACCTCCTCAAAGTCACCCCACGACTTAGACTTGCGCTTACCAAGTCCGGAAATAGCACCGGAAGAGTACAATACCATTACCATCAAGATTACCATTAACACCGCAGTAGTTGGGTGGGTGTTGGAGTCCACCGCCACGTCCCCTCGCTGTTGCCTGCGCCGGCGGCATCGACGTCGATCACCGGCTATGTCCCGCGGGTGGCGTCATCAAACACCGCAAAGGGGTCACGGCCGTCACAGGGAACATGGCACCGTCGCCCTGCGGGTCACACGCCATGGGGCCCTCGGCCGCGGACGGCTGAACTCTAGCACCGTTCCTCAACGGTGCTGTGACTACTGACTTGGCCCAGCGGTGCCGTTGCCGTCGTCGTCCTGCTCACGCCAAGGCTAGTTGACGACGAGGCATCGGCAGCAGACCTGCAAAGAAAAAGAACACGAAAAGAAGAAAAAGATGAGAAAATGATCCCAAAAATAGAATCAAAACACTAAGAAACGTATAGATCTAGGGGCTAGGGTTAGGGTTACGAATGGGGATGGCCTTGCCTGCGCAACCGGAGCCGGATGAGAAAATGATCCAAAAAACAGAATCAAAACACTAAGAAACGTGTTAGATCTAGGGGCTAGGGTTAGGGTTACGAATGGGGATGGACTTGCTGCTGCTACCGGAGCTACCACGGAAAAGAAGACGAGGCCACACAAGGGCAAGACAGGATTAAGAAGGACGGCGAGCGCACGACGGAAGAGAGACAGAAAGGCGGACTCATATGTTCATCGACAAACAGAGGAGAAGGAGTAAAAAGGAAGACGGAGAGGGACGAGGGAGAGTGTAACTCGGGAGAGGTGATGGAGCGATATCACCGGGATCAAGGACGATGGTCGCATCGGCGAAGATGGATCGACGAGAGGAGGCGAGTGGCGACGAAGCGAGAGCCGACGAGCGACCGAGCGGGGTGTCGAGTGTACGTGCGTTGGGAGGCGAATAGGGTTAGGGTTAGGGTGGGGGGTGGGGCGCCCAAGAAGTCACGGTTATATGGGGAGTCGGGGAGGAGGCCGGGAGGGAGAGGTTCTTGGGCGTCGGCCGCAGCCCACCTGCTTGCTGCTTGCTGTGTCACTGTGTGGTGTGTGGGGGCTGACACTGCGGCTTTACTAGCACCACTGCTGCTTTTGGCTGGCCCATTGACCTTTTTGGTTGGGCGAAGCTAGGGTTGCGGAGCTAAATAAGCATTCCATGCCGGGCTCACGGGCTCGGGCTTTGTGCCCATATATAGGTGGAGAAAAAACTAGAATTTTGCTAAAAGCCCTCCTGTGCTTTTCAGAGAATCTTAATGGTCCTCTGGTGATTTCAAATATGTATACCCCTCTTGACCATGTATAAAATCACTAATTTTACTTATAAAATGAAAGCAAATTCAATAACATATTTTTAATTTAACATGTCTGATAATTATCGAGGAATAATGTAGATTAAGCAATATATTTGTAGATATATGATAATTATCGAGCAACAATGTATATTAAAAAAACAATATATATTCATTTTCTTTTCTCACCCATGACAAATGTTTCTTAGGTAACATTCTAAAATTCTAACACCTAAATTAGAAGAAAAATATGACTATATGGGTACAAAGTACTAGAAGTCTAGAATACTATACAAATAATTAATTTGGATTAAAAATAAAAAGAAAAAAATACCTTTGGCCTAAACAACTGATCGGTGATCGCAATTCGTAAGAAGCCGAGAATCAAGATGTGATCGTCGTGGAGCCCTGCCTAGTCACCGTCCTCGTGCGTCGTGTCCGTGTCTCTGGTAGTCTAGCTCTTCGCGGCGGCACGGCTCGCCATCTCCGCGTGTGTAAGGCGCACGTCGTGAACTCACGATCAGAGTGTGCTGTGTGCAGCGTGACTCATCGCCTCATCTCTACTCGATGGTTGTGGGGAAAGAAAACCAAGAAAGAAATGTCGATGTTGTCTTTTTTGGGCTGTCTAGCCTGTTTTATATCTCTCTTCTCATTAGTTTGCTAATGTCTAATAAACTATAAGATCT